AAAATCATTTTTCAAATGCATCGATCCATCGATGCATCAATATACAGTGATTAATATCATTAAATAATTTCCCTTATATTATTATGTAGAAAAGTTAGGGTGATAGTTAAGGTGATACTATCGAAAAGTGAATACTATATAAAATATTTCATATTTTGAGCTGAAAAATATCAAGATGAAAAATAAAATATCTCGAAAAGCGTTCACTCTTCGATAATCTTACATTAATACAGAGAATGAACAAAGGAATTGCTTTGTGTTAAGAAAATTGTATTATTATGGTAAAAAAATGAAGTTGATCTTTATTTGACCATGACGCCTCCACTTAAAGTCAAATTGATAAAATGATAAATTGATCTTTTATGACACTACAACTTTTATCTAAATAAAAGTTTTATCTAAATAAAAGTTGTAGTGTCATGAAATTGAATACTTTATGAGATATTTCATGTCTTGTTCTGAAAAATATCAGAATAAAAAATCGAATATCTCAAAAAGTGTTCACTTTTCGATGATCTTACCTTAATACTTTTATATGCAGAATAAAAGAGAAATCGATTCGTATTAAGAAAAATATATGATTCTTTTAAACAAAAATGAACTATTTTTTTTCAAAATTGCATCGATTATATTCGACTATATTCAGACTTTTGGCCTATATATTATAAAGGTACATATACAGGATGTCCGGTATGTTTCATACGAGGGGTGTTCAGAAAATAACGGGAATTTTTAAATTTCGCGAGTTTGGAGAGTCCGATCGTCAAAAAATTTTTTTTATTATGTTGGTATACATGCCCCTGAGGTATGATGAAATTTTCAGCTATATTCATTGTTTACTTTGTCTGTGGCAGCCGCTAAGTTTAGACGTGTTTTTATGAGCTCGGCGATTTTCGTTCGCGAATGGAAGTTGCTCAGGAGTTACTAAATGAAGTCAATGACGATGCAGAATTACTGAAACGTGTTATAACAGGTGACGAAACATGGGTTTACGGATATGACGTCGAAACTAAGGCTCAATCGTCCCAGTGGAGGCATTCTGGCAACTTCCATTCGCGAACGAAAATCGCTGAGCTCATAAAAACACGTCTAACCTTAGCGGCTGCCACAGACAAAGTAAACAATGAATACAGCTGAAAATTTTATCATACTTCAGGGGCATGTATACCAACATAATAAAAATAATTTTGACGATCGGACTGTCCAAAACCGCGAAATTAAAAAATTTCCGTTATTTTCTGAACACCCCTCGTATAACCGCTACGGTATGTTTCATATAACCGTTTACAGATAGAAGGAGTTAATCTAATAGAAAAGATAGACACTATTATGTAAAATTCTAATAGTAATAGTTAACGAAGAAATAATTATTCTTTCTGAACTAATGAGTGCACGAGAAGCGGCAGACGAGACATATAGAAAATAAAATGTTTTCTACCAGCGTGCGATCATGACACATATGAATCGTGGTTCACCGCGTTCTTTTGCGGAAACTGTGTTTCTCCGCGTCGCTATCTCTCGTAGCTTTAGGCGGAGAAACGTGGAAAGTCGCGATTCGCATATGTCACGGTCGCACACACTGTTGAAAACATCCCAGGAAAAAATGATTATATATGAATATACACCAAAATTCGGGCAAATTTATGTTTGAATTTCCCGCCTCATTTGACTTCTGCGATAGGTCAGTGTTGACGTTCGGGCAAGTCAGATGTTTGTAATAACTACATAAGAGAACAACTTTTGTGTCAAAATGGTAAAAATAGAAAAAAGAGAAAAATATTTTTGCACGACCTCAATTTCTTAAGATACTACAGTGATTAAAAAGTGTCGGCAATGATTCAATAAAACATGAGATTTTAATTTATTCATCAAAATTTATTTCGTCCCCTTCAAAGTAATTCCTTCCCACTATAATGCACTTATGCCAACGTTTTTTCCAATCCTCAAAACATGCTTTAAAGTCGTTTTCGTGAAACCCCTTTAAAACTTGCAACGAATTTTCTTTTATGGCATCAATCGGTTCAAAACGGTTACCACGAAGCGGAAATTTTAGTCGAGGAAATAGAAAAAAGTCACACGGTGCCATATCAGGTTAATACCGAA